AGAGACCTGGCGTTCGATTTTCGCATATTTTTGAACATTTTGTGTTATATCTTCGCATATATTCGTACAAGTGCTTTTATATAATATATAATCTTTTATATATAAATGTATAAAAAAAGAGCATTTATCTCCCCTTGAACGTCTCTTGACTAGTTTTAGTAAATTTTTAGAGACCTGACGTAAGAGTTACTTCCTAATTATGTTAAATTTCGCATAAAATTGAAGAATGCGAAATAATAAGTTAGGGGCTCTTTTTAAGAAATGAACAGATCGGATCAACGAGTTGATGGTGTGGTGGTCTAAAACGAACGCCTTAAGTCGGATCAATTTTGCTAAAGTTAATTCTTCTTAAGGATCGATATATAGGCAGATACACAATCAAAGAGATCTTCCTTTAAACCTTTGAATTTTTATAGTCATAAACGTGGCTTCGGTTATGTTTTCAATGAGCCCTTTAGTTTCCTTGACTATGCAAGGATTTTTCTTCTTATATCCGCCATCATGGCATGGGTGTTGGGCATGTTCATATTGTGAAGACGTTTGCACTTTTCGAACCAATTGTTTGCTTGTCCGTCTTTCTGAGCTTTCTGACATTTCCTTGCAGTCGGTACAAGGGTTTTGATAAAACGAATTTATTCTAAGAAATTGATTGAGGACCGTGCAGCCATATTGTGCTCAGCGTTAAGTGCTCAGCAGACCAGTTTCCGCTTCAGATGCGGGACAACTCCACTACAGACCGATGATCGTTCAAATATAAAGAAGATAAGATATCAGAAAGGCTTCGAGGAATACCTTTGCTTAGTATAAGCTTAGCGCGGTAATCTTATAAGTAAATCAGAACTTATTGCCATCTGCGATAAAGAGTTCTGGAAGGTGATTCAAAAATTGGTTCGATTCTAAATCAATTGTGCACATTAAACTTTTTGCCAAGAAATATTAGAAATTTAAAATTTTTTTCACATAATGATTGTTTCAAAATCGATTGTATAACGAAAGGTTGTACAAACGATCTAATTTAGTTTATTCTCAATAGCTTTTTTTTTTTTAAGTCAAGACGAGTTCATGTTTGAAATCCCTTCAAAATATCTCGAAGAATGTAAGAACATATCGATGGACATTAGATGGACGAACGTTCAGAGATCGTAAAATTGAAATATTGAATCGATTGATATAGTAAAAGGTCGATCTATTTCAATGTCTTCTGAGCAACGTGCCCGCCCGCGTAAATTTAATACACGCCTTTGCCAATGTATTGCAAATATTGTTCATTTGTCCAACTTCCGTGCTGAAGGACATCTGGACTTTTACGCTAAGCATAGAAAGAAAAGTTGACGATTCGTATGATTCAGGGCAGACAACAAAGTCAAGAATTGAAAGCAGCATTGACTATGAGGAGCAAAGTTTTGTCGGCACAGCTGGGACGAGAGTATATCGCAGTTCAATGTTGGTAAAGTTTCCTCGGCAAGATCGAGTGTTCGTACGCTTAGCCATTCCTTTGGTCTCCACTATTGTTCTCTGCGCTTGCAATATTATATACATTCTTTTTTGCCCCCATTTCTCCCAATCCACCATGCTTCGAATGAACTAGAAAAAGGGAACCTTTCCAATTTTTGGCCTTTTTTTGGCGTAGAATCGACTTATACGAAACTTCCAAAGGCTTTATCACGCACACTCTAGAGGGATAGTTTGTTGAACTTGAAGACAACAAATATGAAATTTTTTTTTTGTACTATGACCAATCACTCAGGGGATGTCCCCTATTCGTGTAACATGATGACGATCAGAAAGAAGGGGTGGGGAGAGAAAGAAATAGGGAAATGATGGTAACATTGACAAGTGTTATGCCTTTACCGACTAAGCACTCAATGCCGCTACGACTAAAGAAAATCCATCAGATTAGAAAGAAAGAATGGAGAGAGAAAGAAATAGGGAGATGGTGGTTGTAATCCAGTGGGTGTATGCGCCATTGACAAGTCTTATGCTTTTACCGACTTAGCACTGACTGCAGCTAAGACCAAAGAACACCTACATCTACCACACTTGAGATTTGAAGAAGCAGCGAACACTGATTTGGAAGTCGTAGTTCTTACCTACTCGCCCGCTCAGGCGGATAATGAATGTGATATGAATAAGTCACAGTTTTATAAATGTTCATAGTTAAAAAATAATAAGGACTTATTTATAGACCCGATATATGAGACAAAAATGATTTTAACAAATTTTTTTTTTAATTGCTAAACTTCCTTAAGTTAGAGGACATATCTATGTTTCTTGCAAATATGAAAAGGAAGCGAGAGTAATCACTACGGTCTATTAGGCTGCTTATGAGCTCCATTAAGCCGATATTTTTGGAATTTTTTTTTTAACAATAATCACCTGCATTAGGATTAAATTTATAACTTTGTGCAGGTGTAGGTGATTAGGGAAATGGACATAGTAAAGAGCATTAGATGAGTTATTCCTAATCTAAGTATCTTCTGTTCACTTAAGATCACTTTATAGTTAGAGAACCACATTGAGTTTATCAAATATTTGAAGAATAAGAAAATGATATAAATATTTTTACCGGCATGGGTCCCAATTGTGATGAATGCACTTCACGTGTATTAATGCGATCAAATGGTACGGCACGTGTACATTTATTCAAACCAGCTACAATACGTTGGTTATATATATGAACCTGTTGTGAGCAAAGTTATTATAAGAAGCAATAAAAATATTTTATTTTCATGTTACATCATTATTCCTCAGCCTACCTGTTGGCATAAATTAACAAAATCTTGAAATCGTGCCGCTCTGTAATGCAATAGCACTTGATATAGGGATTTCTCACGCCATTTGCGTGCAAAAGGTCGTAAGAATTCGGCAGTCTCGTTATTTAATACACCAGTCTTCTCATTGACCAAAGGTGGGTAACGTCCGGTGGAACGATAACTGCGATAGGCTAAAAAAAAAAAATAAATAAAAATAAATAAATAAAAACAAAACCGCGTAAAAGAGAAAAGAAAATATGGGTAAACGATTGCATTATTTTTTTTTTTTTTTTATCTAATAAAGACTAATGGAATGAAGAAAGGGCTGGTGTACAACGTCTTATTTATAAACGCACAATTATCGTTGATAAGGCGCCAAGGTGAAAATTATTGATTGCGGTCAATTTTGCGATAAAGCGTTAATTTAATTAATTTCTCATTTATTTTCCAAGCCTTTCACGTCTGCACCAATGTTACAGGGGTCATGGTAGCTTAGGTAAACTCATAAAATGGCTTCCCTTAAGCCGCCTTGTCAGCTTATTTATGTAAACGATGTCCGACCTTATTAGCTACCTATTGCAAGTAGGTCATGATATCATAGTCGCTGTAATGCTGGACGAATTAGTCGTGTTTGTAAGCTGCTTAAGTTGTTTTGTGTTTTTTGTTTTTTTTTTGTTCCAAAACGACACATTTTCCTTCCTGACAAATTGACATGTTTTTCCAGTTTTTTATCTTTTCGTGTTTTTATTATTTCGTTACTAAGCAAAGTTTAGTCATATGAATGATATCTTCAAAAAAGAAAAGAAAAGTCTTCCATTTCACATTTGTTTATTCGTCATCGTCGTCATCATCGAAAATTGCACTTTCACGTTGCGACACTTTTGCGGCCGATAAAGCTTCTCGTTTACGTGCTTCCTCGAACTCTTCTTCGGCCTCCGAGGGTGTCTCACTTATATCTAAATATTCAACTGCTGCATTAAGATTAGTATCTTTACCTTTTTGTATTTTTAAAGCGGCCTCGTCTTTCACGGCTACACCTTTTCCACCTAAATGAAAAAAAGAACATCGAGTATATATATTAAAAATTTATTCTTATTAATATGAACAATAATGACTTACCTTTGGCTCCTTTGCCGCCCTTAACCCGCTTTCTAGCCAGTAACGATCTGATCATAGACTGAACTTTGATGACGCGTTTCACTTGAACTTCATACAGTCTGTGTTTAAAATATTAAATTTATATATTAAAAAAAAAGTAATAATTACCCTGTATATAATGACTTTTTACAATAAGGCCCCAAAATGCTCTGATCCGAAACATTTTCAATATAATTGGTTCTTGGATCAAAACACGTCAATGTACCAGATTTTATCAAAATATTTTAAAAATTATGGCATGTGAAAGCAATAGATCAGTATGGACAGACGGACAGACAAGCTTAAATTGATTGAAAAAGTGATTCTGGATTTTTTTGTGTGTCCGTCCGGCACAGCTAATTGATGTCAACACTTGGAAACATTTTTTTTATGTATTTATGCAATTATCATCAAATTGGAAATTAGTCTAATTGGAATCGTTTTTAAAGATCATCTACGGATCTAATCGTAAGGTATTCCTTCTGTATATATACTGAAATTTCAACCGCTATACGCTAAACGGACAAATAAACATGTTTAATGCGACTTACAAATATATAATAATCATCTAGAATATATGTATACTGCGCGGGGCTTATGACAAAAGTTCAAAACTATATGATGCACATACCTGGCTAAAAATTCATCATTGTAATAACGTAGGAAAACTTTGCTTTTTCCCAAATTCCAGCCTTCCATTTTTAAACGTATCATTAACAAACGACAATTTTCTTGATTTATATCGACAGTCTCATCAAAATCGAAAGCCAAAAATTGATAACTAAACGTTAGAAAATATTTTCATTCATTTATCCAAATACAAATACGATACGAGGTTAAATAATATTTTGAACTTACCGCTTTAGAAACTCCTCGAATGTGATACGACACGAGTAACCTTGTTGCCGGGCTATAACGGTATCTACGACACCTAAAGCTTTCATTTGTTGTTGCACCATATCGCCGTGAAAATTTCGCGGTTTATATTCTAAATCGCCGCGTATGCAACGCACAAAATGCACACCTAAATTGCTATTTTGATTTAGGATCTTGAGTAAGGTTAAGCATGTGAAACGGAAATTGGCCGATAAAGTGCGCAAATTGTTAACTTGCGATATAACGCCACACGATAAAGTATTCAAATTCTGTAACATTAAAATCGAAAGTATAGAATATTCCTTTTTTTCATTTCCATATTACTTCAGTCTTACATACGAACGCCTCTGCGTATCATCGGCTTTATGCTGTACCGATTCGAAATTCATTGTTAAATTGCCGGCTTTAGTTAGCTGATTGGTAAACATGACCATAAAATTTTCATCGCACGATGAACGAAATGCTTCAATCATTTCCGGTGGTACAAAATCACGATTTATATCAACAAATGCTCGTGTATCGTAAATAATACGACCGGTGTAATGAGCCACACTGATCTCAGTGGCAGTGTGCTTTTTAACAAACTGGCTATGCTTCTCACTAACACGATCTGCAAAAGTTGAATATTTAATTGAAATTCAAATTTTTCATAATAAAAGTGTATGTTAACGTCTTTTCTTTCCAATATATTCCATATGTGTTTCCCGATCATTATACACACTAAACCACTTGGGAGGCATTATGTATTAGTTATTATATGCGTGGATGCATACAACTTGCCAGAAGGACTTGAGATATATCCCATTTTTATTATAACGAATTTTGAATCGATCTAACCTTGTCTCTCCGTCCGTACGTTCCAGTTTCTTGCTTTCACTTGTCACAATTTTTGAGATATTTTGATGAAATTTGATACACTAGCGTGATTTGATCCAAGGACGTACATTACTGAAAATGTTTTTGCATCGGACTAGTTTTTCAATTATATTCCATCGAACGATTTGTTTTGAAAAAATCGTTATGTCAGTCAACTGTAGTCAGAAAAGTGGTGTCGGTTGTTTAGTGGTCGGCTCCGGCCCATTATAGTGTATAGAATATACAGAGAGAACAAACAGTGTTGTATTTTTACCTATAATCAAATCTTGATCTTGGCTCATTCGGGACGCTTCATCGATTATATAAAACAGACCATCTGGCTTAGTAAGCAAATTATCCAAAGCGGTTTTATTATCGTAGAAATTTAAATTAGTTGTTGTTATATCTTCAGCTTCCTAAAATGAGAAATTTTTTCGCATCATAAGCGTATATTAAATAAAATTTTAATGACGGAACAGACACTTAATTTACTTTCAATATTTTTTAACCTTTCTTATGTTAGTGAAATGGAGTTTTGTTAAAGTAACAAACTGATTAGTAAAGCTTAACTCAAAGTTCAGATTTTTAGTTTTAAAATTTTGTATAGATGAGGACTTCGTAATACAAATCTTTACCTTTAAGCCTATAGCATAAATATGATATTATATCATATACTTAAAAAAAAAATACAATAACAACGAATTAGAGTTTTTTGCAAAAATTTTAAATTTAATCTCAAAATGAACACTTCTTAATATACATACAGCTTTGGCTGTCGTATCGAAATTAATTTTCAAATTTGACATCTTCGTGTGGTGCGATAATTGAATTGAATTTCTTCACTATTATCGGTTGCCAAATTTTTGTACGTTTGCAAGTGCTTAGCGATTTACTACCAACTCAGCTCTGTACCGCGTGGGGGTTTGTCTCTGTGCTGGATGTGAGACATGTTTTTTCTTTCGCCCCCTTGTTTATTTATATATATATATTTCTTTGCTTCTCTTTATTGACTTTATTATCAGTATTAGTTGGTAATGATATTTAGTATAAGCTTTATTTCCGAAAGTCAATTGGACTAGGCTATCAATTTATTTGATCTAAATTTTATGTGTAAATAGGTAAAAAAACAAGCAAACCAATTTAAAGCTTGAATGAATCACATATACATACGGATGTCCGTCCGTCTCCTGTAAAAACAAGTTAAGAAGTGGTTTTGAACTTGGAATGCCAGATTTTTAATGATAAAGAAATTCGGTCACATTAGTGAATTTTGTAGACCTTCACATATAAAAGGATTATCAGGACAGCATATCCTTGTATAAAAAAAAATCCTGCTAAATTTGGATCATTAACTTGTGATGTATTGGGCATCTTCCTAGTTGCGGACTTGCATGAAAAGCATGTCTTTGCACGAAAATAGTTCGTAATTTATGCTATCTTATTATCAAGACAAGTGAACTGCACTAGGCGAAGTGATGTACGGTGGCTAATGGTCGGATTTGCCCAACTATGACATTCTTAAGTGGTTTTACACTTACAACACTTACCCTAAGAGAAAACATATGACTAAAATTCCTAAGTTTAAGTGAAGCTTAAGTGAAGCAACCAAATTGTTAGGTTATGTTTTCAATTTAAATTAAAATTTTCTTAACTCTTTCATTGACTACGAATAGATATAAATTTGATGCGATTTTTAATTGATCGAATCATTATTTCATGCGATAGCTTAAGTAAAACTTTAACCTCATATGATAATTTGGATTAATTTTGATCAAAACAAATCTTACCATCTCAAGCATTTCGTTTACAAAAATGCGTTGATTATAGTGATATTGCATTTGCTCATTCAAAGTGTTGATCATTAATTGCTCTAAACCGTTGCGGTGAAAACATTCAAAGCCGAATAAGTCATGAATTACAACGGTATTGTTGTCACCGCTGAAACATATTATGGTTAAACTCTGTAACCCGTATAGTTTAAATTTAAACTTACAATACAGCTCTTGGGAATGCCATGTTCATGTTGATCTTATTAATGATCCAATCGACCAAACGTGAATATATAGTCGAAGATACGGCATCACGTGCGTCACGTGCCTCTTCCGATGTATACTGACGTCTTTCGGCAACGCCACCCTAACCGAATAACGTGTATGATGGAGTTTTTTGTCAAAATCGCTACTTAATAATTTGATTGAATAGACCTAAGCTTACCTTGACCATTATGAAATTGGTTAATGACCACATGAATTTCTTTTCATCTACTCTAAGCAACTCTGCTATACGTGTAACCATTTCGGTGTTTTCAACTTCAGCGTATTTACCCGATTGTCGGAAGCGGATGTTACCAATATTTAGAATGGCAGCGAATATCTTGCGGATGGTTTCCAAATGCTTACGATTCAGATCCAAATCTTGTAAGATTGTTTCAAATTCGCGATACTTTTCCACATTGCCTTTAGGATCATCGCGATGATATTTTAATTTCGTTGGCTGCATTTCCGCTGGTACACGTAAATAACGATAGCCACGCTCGGATTTCAAATTATACTCTTTAAGTAAACCCTCAGAATTCATATAATCATAGAAATAATAGAAAATATGGAAATTGTGTTGATTCCTAAAAATATTTATGTTTGATAAGCTTTTTCCATTGTACACTAATGAACAGTACGAATACGTACATGTCGGTAGTGGAGACGCGCATCTTCTCCAGCATATACATATTGAAGACGGCTCCGCTCATCTTACCCGTTTTACCAAAAGTCAAATAATATTGTAGAACACACCTTGTCGAATCATTATTGATGGGCGTGCCGGCATTAACCAGCATTAGGATGATTTTGATAGAATTTTGCACCCTTTCAGTGGCACCACGATTACCTGCACCCAAGTAGCATAAGTGCTTAATAAGCATCCGCACGTTAGTTGATTTTCCCGAATAGCTTTCACCCGACAGCACAATGTGTTGTGGCTCTTTGTGATGCAGCATATCCTGGAACGCTGTGTCCGCAACGGCAAATATGTGAGGAGAGTTTTCGGACCGCGACTTACACGCATATTTGGCATGAAAAGCATCGTCAAGTTGCTCTTGATAATCGTTAGTGTTAATCGAAAGCAAGACATCACCGATAAATGAATAAGTGTTGCTGCTCTCGACACGACTCCGTAGGATGTCTAGAATAATTTCTTCAGTAGGATTTTCAACAGCTGCCAAATCTTCAGGGTACATGCGTTCCGGTTTTCCATCGAAACGCTTTATATAGCCACGATCTACAAATATTTCAGGTTCCTTGTATAACGTGCCTGCATCACGGCAGACATTTAATATTTCTCTTATATCTGCCTTCATCTGTTGGATTGGAAAGGAAAAACTATAGAGTGAGATTAAAAATTGAGAAAATTTTACCTCATCGTCATTATCAAAGAGTTCATTGAGGAAAGGATGTTCTATCATTTCCACCATCATTGGCCGATTTTCCGGATTCTTTTCCAAGCACTCGGCTATGAAATCATTGATTTGCTGCGACCAATTGGTCGGCCGCAACAACGTAGGCGGAGGATTGCGTACAATTTGAAATAGAGCCCGCGAGGGATGCATATCAGCAAATGGGGGCTTACCATCAGTTAATTCAATTGTGGTTATACCTAAAGACCAAACATCGGCACGCGATGTAATCTCCGGTTCCCCTTTAGAAGAGAATACTAATAAGTAGCAATTCTTCGAAATATTTTTTACAATTTTCACATACTAGCCTCCATGGCTTGGACAACTTCCGGAGCCATCCAGCATGGTGAACCAATGCAAGTGCCGCGTTTGCCTAAAGTTGAATCGACTTCACGCGATAAACCGAAATCGCACAATTTAATCCGACCATCTTTGGTCACCAGAATATTATCGCCACGAATATCGCGATGCAAAATATGATTGCGATTCAATTCAATAGCAGCCCGACAAGTTTCGCGTATAATGAAAGAGACATGTTCTTCGCGCATGCGTCGATCCATTTTCAACAGCTTATTAACCATATCAACCGCCGTACCGCCACCGCAATACTAAATCATGGAAATTCTGTACTTATTTGCGATTTTTAGATGATTGTGACTCTTACCTCTATGGCGAACCATATTTCATCAGGGCCTTCGTCCTTTTCCAATTTATATGCTCCATAAAATTCGGGCAAATTTGGATTAGTACAATAGTCTCGCAGAGTGCGATATTCTTCTTCAATCGATGTCTGATGGTCTTCATCGTAATGTTGTATTTTTAAAGCTACAACACGTTCAGTTTCGAGCTCTTTTGCTCGAAATACTTTAGCATTGACACCTTGCGCAATTTCTTCATAGATTTCAAATTTATTCGTCGGATCCGGTAACTGATCATAAGGTAAATACGAACACATATTTGCTTTTCTTTCCAACCGTTAGACTAATATTTAAAAAGTTAAACATATATAAGTACAATCTACACATTTCTATAAGATTTCTTATATAACTTAATCCCAATGATTGATTATTATCTCATACGTCAAGGCTCGAAACTTTAATAAATTTGTTATTCTGTCGAAGTATAAATTACTGAAAGGTGAGTCCTAGATTCAAGCTTTTTCAGAGAGAATGAATGAGGAAGAAAGCGGCGCCAAAGAAGAAGAGGGCAAAAGGGCAAATTAGGAAAAAACTCTAGAAGGCAGACAAAAGGAAAAAAAGAATAGCAAATGGGAGGCAAAAGAAAATCATTAAATAAATGTTTTTTGATGCTACAGATTTAGTTCGTTATAGCATCCTTTGGCTTTCGTGAACCTAGGAAAATCTCAGAAATTTCCAATATTTCTGCGACAAGCACTTAAACCTAAATTTTTCTGCTCACTGCTTAAAACGATCGACCAGAATGCTTACGATACTTGGGACTGATATTGCTTAACGTTTCAGGGTACATGGTTTTGCTATTTGAATATGTTTTTGGGTGGATCATACCAGCATTTATCAAATCAAAGTCGTTTTTCTCTAGAAACGTATCCGTAGCCGGACTTCTCAATGTGCACAGATAGAGTGGACTTTCAAGGAAGCATTTCTGGATATTTATCAAAAAGCTTCTTTATATGTTCTTTAGGGAGGTAAAATAATTTGGTTTTCTAAAAAGACGCTGCATGCTTCCATAATATGTTGAAAAGCGTCGCTATTGCATAAAACTGCGGTAAGGTAGGAAACTTAACGAAAGTATGTATCACCATATACCAGCAGGTGGCCATAGTTGGCCAAGTCTCACCTTTAAATAACATACACTAATTCGTTTATAAAGTTCTTCAGGTAACGGCTTTTCAAAATGCAGTATTGCCTGAGAAGTTGTCGAAAAAAATATCCGATTCGCACTTTTTCCAATAGCATCCGCTCTTGGGGCACATCCACACGTATACTAAAGTTTATCAATATATCGCAATAATGGCGATTTTTGGACTAAACACATGAATACATGGAAAGACAGTCAACGGACAGACGGACACACAAACTCACATCGATCGGAATTGAAAAAAGTGGATCTCTCTCAAATCTTTCTGAGCATCGTGCACATCTGTGTAAGCTCATTATGCTCCGCAATACAAAAAGCAATAATAGCTTAGTCTACGATTAAAAAAGTTTCTAGAGCCATTCAAAGAATTGTCATAAGAATGTATGTAGTATGCACGTATTCTCAACGCTTTAGGTTGCCTGAAACATTATGACACCAGTTATTTGTCCCACGGTATTCAAATTTTACTAAACCCAAGCATAATACACAAATAGCCAGCGAGTCCATAAAGGATGTTACTTTTAATGCACAGAATCTTCTCAAGACAGAGGAGCCTTGGCATTTATTTTACGTTCCTTCGACGTTTCCACTTGTTTGCAAATTATTTAATTTATTTCCTTTTCCGCCATCAATCAGAGCCGCTTCGTTAGTTTCTTTATTAAATCAAAATCATTTTATCCAAAATGAAGCATCACTTATGAAATATCAGAAGAACAACGATCGCGTATCTGATATTTTCTACATAAAACCGAAGAGCTTTCTGACCACTCAATAGCTTTGCTTATACAGAAATTGTAATTATTTTTATTCGCTTTACGCTGCAATCATTCATACTTGTGCTTAGATGTGCTATCCCATCCATTGTACTCACTAAAGTTTTCTTTTCCCTCTTCATTAACGGACTTTAATCGATGACTTATATTCGAGCAGCGCTTTCACTCTTATAATGTTGTTCTAAAAGAGATCCTTAAGTGGATGCTCTCAGACGACTGTCCCTTTGTATTCATATGCTCTCCAAGCGATAAGGAAAAGTTGTGGCGGCTAGACAGTCATTACATTAAAGGTTTAGTTAGTAGGCAATTTTTCACATTAGAAAAAGAGTCTTAAGAATTTTCTTCCAAAAAGTAGAAATGATCCGTTTTTTTTGACAGGATCCATTTGACTCGATTTTCGTGAATTTTGGAATCAGTCTGACAGGAGTTATTATCAACGAATTTGACAACAAGTTTTCAGGTGATGGATGAAAGCCATACCGATTCTATCCGCGGATCAAATTTACTCTTCGACGTATTCGATGCACATTTCAAAGCTTTGCAAGCATTTTGCAAAGGTATAATGATGTAAAAGTAATAAGTTTTTCACTATTTTTTTACTCTATAGTACTTGTGGTACAAGTTCATGCTAAATGTCTACGAATGTATGCAACACTCAGCAGTACTTGAGATAGGCCCATCGATTCGGAGCCACTTTCTGATTGGATTTAACATTTCTGTCCGTCGGTCCACTTCCTTGCTTTTAACCTACAGTGCGCAATTTTTGAGATATTTTTTTATGAAATTTGCTGCAGTAACATGTTTTGGTTCAAGGACGTACACTATTAAAAATGATTCGAATCGGACCGACATTTTTCCATATAATATCGCATTTTTAAAACTCGTTATGTAAAGGTGATGTATAATACTTAATATTGGGCCGTAACCAACTTTAGCGTTTTTACGTGTTTTTTTTACAAAACTTAGAAACTCATTACGCTCGAGCTATTATCTCTTTTAATATTTGCTCTTATCCTTGAGACACATTCGTTATGTTGGTTTTTTTTCTTTAGTAAAAACATTGAATTTTCTTACTTTATCGTAGGGATTATCTCCGCTTATCGATGGTAAATTTCTTCTGTCTTTATTCTCTTTCAAGGAAATACTCGTTATCCTTGTTATCCTTACATGGTAATCCAGACGGTTCAAAAAGTGTTTTGACTTCTCTGAGAGCGTAAAGTTTTGAGTTGTTGATAAATCACTATTGCATCATTTTCCCAATATTAATTTCATTAGCAGCCATAAGAAATTTTACTTTTTAAAGTAAAAATCATTATCCTTATAGTCCTTGCGTGAGAGATCGTACTTGAAGATTTGAAAGTAACGCACTATTATTGAAAATTGTGATATAAGCGAAAGCTGTAGAAGGAAATTTCTTAACTTTGGTCGCCCGGTGATGGTATCTTTTCAAATACTTCCAACTGCATTATGTAGCAGGAGCAACGATTTTTATGAAGAAACCTGCTAAAAATTTTTCAATGTTGCATCATTGTCCTGATGATCCTTTGGTGAAAGCGAATGTATTTTTCAAAATTTTTCCAACTTCATTATGCAGAAGGAGCGTCGATTTTTATGAGAAACTCTGCAAAAGCTTCTCAGTCTTGAATCATTATCGTCGCCCTTGTCATCCTTGTTTTATTTATATCTCCAAACTAATTATGTAGCAGGAGGAAAAAGGCATAAAACTTTGTAAGGATTGCTTGCGGTTTTTGCACCATAAACTTGGCAATCGTTATATTAAGTCTTTCCCAGCTTTGTGCTGTGCCAAAAATGATTCCAGACAGTTTTGACAGCATAATCTGTATTGCAATATCAATTATCCGCATCCGGCATCCATGTAACGTTCGTTTAATGCATGTACATATAACGCATAAGTTACGACTTTTACGATAATCCAAAATTTTCTTTTCCAAGAGTAATGAAATTTCTTATAAAAAGCCTTTATGTGAAGTCCACATAATTGGCTTTATATCGTTATCCTTGCTGATAGCATATACATGATCTTTACTATTTTGGCATAAGAGTCCTTAAGATTATTTTAAAATTCGGATAATTTTCATTTTCCCCCAATTTAATTAATTTAATTATTTGTTTTATATCAACATTTAATAATTTTTTCAATATTTTATTTAATTTTTTTTTTTTTTTTTAAAGTTTTCTTATATGTTTTTTTTTTTTTACTTTTGATTTTTATATATCCTTTTTTCGATGCCTTGCAGCTTCTTCTTCTTCTTGTTCTTCTTTTTGGTCGCTGGTTGCTTACTTAAAAAAACACAAAAGCTTCTTTTCACTCAATGAATTTTCACTTAATTTTATTTTATTTCTTTATTATTTTTATTTTCAAAAATTAATTCAAACATAAAATTTTGATACTGCTATTAACCGTTTAAACGTGCAGTTCACTTAGCTGCCAAAAGCCAACTGATATTTTACTAATTACGTTAAAAGTGTTTTACATTTAGAACGGAACCTAAAATAGATAAGAAACCCTATAAAGGCAGTTAATAATTATAGGAAAAATAAGCCAAATAAAATGGAAATACTTTCTGAAGGTAAAAGAAATTCTAAAATTGATTCCCTTAATGAAAAAAAAAAAGAGAAAAACAAAAAAAAAAAAAATAAAAAAAGGAGGAAAGAAAAACAACAAAGTAAAAAGACTAAGTGCTTAAAGCAATAGATACATTGACGGCGCCTAAAGGCTTTTAAGGTTAATCGAATTAGTTAAATAAAACAAATCACGTATGCTCTCGTTGAACAATTGCAGATGTAAGTATTCGCACCTATTAAACCTCTTAAGTTTAAATTTATACGCGATTCAATATATAATTTTCTTCTTCTTCTTCTTCTTCTTCTTCTTTTTTTTTATTAATGTTTAAATTATTTTATTTTATTTTTAAAGTCTTAAAAATTTGCAATATTTACATAAGTATGAAGAGTATATGGAGCTTTTGATTTGTAATTTCAAAATGGAAGGAGTTGTGTGTATGTATGTGTTTTCTTTTTTCTTTTGTTTTTTTTTTTTTTGGATTTTAATAAAAATTACACTAAATTCTAAATACTTGTTGTCTGTGTGTGTTTTTACAAATTATATAATTAAATTTGTTCGGTTTTTTTTTTTTTTCATTTTATTTATTGTAAATTAAAAAATATATAAATGATTTTGTGTTTTTCATTATGCATTTAATTTGTAATACTGTCCGTTTGGTAGGTGCTTGTAAAAAAAAGAAAAAAAAAAGAAGAAAAGAAAAATCTTATTAAGCATAAGCATAGTATTAATTGCATACACTAATCCACTCTTCGACATGGCATTCTTCGCATTCAACATTGCAGCACCATTGGAATTTACAATTACACCGTTCAGCGCGACGTTCCTTCACTTGACTATAGCCCCGCCCGCAGCATAACGAATTGCAGCCATCACTTAAAGTGCTATTACGATTGCATTTGCGGCCCACAGTACCTAAAATTAACAAAAAAAAAAAAAAAAATTAATCACATAAGAGCAAACCTGAGCAACTCAGTGTTTTATACCACCCATCATCGATGGATGAGGTGTTCAACGTTTGCCAGAAGGAAGCTGCATATACCCCCCCAAAAGTTATCTACATTTTCGATCGACGTCAATCGATGCTGATCAAACGATTTAAGAATGTCTGTCTGTCCATATGTCCTTCTATCAATCTGTTCGTCTATAGCAGATATTCTCCTGGTCGCAAAAATGGAGCCATCTTTATAAAATTTGGCAGAAACATTGGAATCATGAAGTCCTCGCACGCAAGCTGGTACCTCAAATGGCCCAAGTTGATCGAAGACTATGCAGTCTTACGCAAACTAACAATAAGTGTGTTTCTCAAGAGGAAAGTTGGCTTTATGCTTATAGCAAATAAATCCATAAATCTTTTATCGTATTTTCTACAAATGATGCTTTTTACTTATGTTTTCTTTAATCCCTCATCAAATTCAATATTTGCATACAACATAAATTTGAATATTTGCTGAGTGTTTAACTGCGCACTAGCAAGTTCAATTTATATACTTTGCGTACCAGATCTTGAATATTTACAATTGTATTATTACAGAAATTCCAAACATAACAAAATGAGTTCGCATGAAAACGAACCGATCTTACGAGAAACCAAATTCTCAATGTGTGTGTGTGCTGAGTTTTGTAACATCCGTATAAATTTAATTTATTCATTGCACTGCAACTGGTGTAGGGTATAAAAATCATAAAAAAATAGTGAACATTTAGATATTTTGTAAGTTCAAAAGTTGAAAAAGATCACATTAATGCACGTTAAGTGCTAACCACAATGGATGCCAACGCAAAATTAGTTGAACACATAGCTTGCGTGAGTTGTTAAAGAAAAATCATATAGTTAGCGTTTGCTTACATAAAGTGTAATGCGTAAGCGCAAAATTAATAAAGTGAAAAATTTCTTTAAAAAAAGACATTATTTTAAATATCATTTTATTTGAAATGATTTAACGTAATTTTCTCTTCCCTTTTTTTTAATAGAATGCAAGTAATGACTTCAAAGACTAAAGTATTAACATATATATGATTATATCTTGTTTTCATAAAAATGCGTCATTGTGTTGCTTGTCAAAAGCAATGCACACAAAGTTTGCAAAAATTTGCGTTTACGTACAATGTCTTAAATGTTTTAAATAGAAAAAATCAATTTTATTATTGAGTTCGTGCTCCATTCGCAACGCTTAACGCAATTATTGTGTCAGGACTTTAATACGTTTTATTTGTTACGTGTTTGCTTTGATAAATTTTAATACGAACTCTTTAAAATTTGTGAAAAAATTTTTTTTTTCCAAACTGTTAGCATACACACCAATAAAAAATAGGAAATAAATGAGAATGAGAGAAACTTGGTTCAATATTCTCAATGAGAGTATTTTTAAAAATTTGTTTGCTCATTATTTCCACATTGAATTTTTTAATGAAAAATTGTGCTTGGTTTATGTCTTTACTTATTATAAAAATATTATGGCTTTGCTCTCCCAAAGAGTTGCTTATGGCTGTGAGCATTTTTATGGCAAAAGTTTTTAAGGCTTGGCAACCCTTTTATATACTTTGTAATTTCGGTTTCTTTCTATTTGTTGCGTGGTTTACCTTTGATAATTGTGTAAAAGCAAATGAAATTTTTCGTTTTCAATTTTCTGATATTTAACAAATGATTTAAATTAATTTTTTCTCTTGAAAATGTAAAATTAAAAATATTCTTAGAAATTGCAAACTATTTTTCTTAATATTTGTGATTGTCGATAAAGACTTTAATTAAATCGTGTGTTGTTTGTTACTGGCCGAAATCAGTTCAACGAAATTAATTCGAAAACTAAATATGATTGTGATGTTAAGGAAAATGAAAATTGGAGGTAAGTGACCATTAAATTACAATTATCGAACGTTAATTTGCTGGCATAATTTTTAAGCTTTAGATGAAAAATTTTTTGAAAAATTATTTCAAGAATGATTTGCAAGATATTAAGGTAAGTTTTTTTTTAGACCAAATTTGTCCGTTAAATTTAAAAATTTTGTTTAAGAAAAGAGATTAAAAATGTTGACAATAAGTTAAGCAGAGAATCCCCAGTGAATACAAAAATTTCTTAATTTAGACCAATTTTACGTTTTCATAAATTACCCAAAATAGATATACAATATATACACATGATCTAGATTTATTGTGGAAGAAAGCGCAGTCAACTTTTTACTCCTAAGCAGTCTTTTTGATTGTCTCGCATCTCTATTGCTGGTTACAGATCTAGCCAATAGCGAACTTTCTCAAATTTCATTATATAACTGATCTTTACAATATAAGTTTCATTTTGCATTTAATGAATAAATAAAATTTTGGTAATTGGGAGTTCTTCTCAGGAGAATAAGGGACACTTTTAGTCACTTTTTTTTTATAATAATATAAATAACAATCTCTAGTGCTTACGAAATTTAAAAAATTCCGTAAGCAACTTGCCGAGATTGTTTAAGGTTAAAATGTATGGTCTGCATAAACATATGTCTAAGAAAAAGGATCACTTTGGTATCCTTTTTTTCTCGAATTGCTACATTTCCTAAGAATATTCCTCAACTATTATTATTATTATTAAAAATGTGACGTGTCCGTCATTTTACATTCCTTTCGTTTCACCTAAACACATTTTACATTTGATAACTGCACAGCAAAGCCGGTCGTGAAAGCAAATACAATCTATTTACGAGCAAATTAAAGTATTTGAAATTTTAAACGCAAAGGACCGAGGCTCGACTACATCACGAGTTACGGGTCGAGTACGGCCCGTGGGCCGACGGTTGCCCATCTCACATTTAATCTTATCTCTTATAATATCTGGTTGAATTTGTTTTGGCGGGTAATGTACTAAATTATCCTTTAGATCACTTTGACAATTTATTAGGACCTGATTGCCAAACTTCTCAAATAATAATCTATTGCTGCTGGTGTAGAAAAATAACAATAGAATTTATTGCAGAGCGAAGGCAGCTTTGCGTAAACTGACAGTTGAAAGCTTTTCAAAATTTGGCTCACCATTGCTAATCCATACTAAACCATGGCTAATCATTAGAATCTTTTCCTTGTGCGGTGTAATCAGTTTGTTAAAGCATTTGCAACGCCTAATAGGAGACCACCCAGAAACCTCCCAAAATATATATATTCTGGATCAGTATCATGTTCTAAATCGATTTAAGCATGTTCGTCTGTCCGTCTGCCCGCTTCTCCGTCTGTTCAACTGTGTAGTATCTGTGGTAAAAATTCTTCCTTTCGCAAATATTTAGATATCGCCTACAAATTTAGAAAAGGACTTGAAAATGATCCAAAACGGTCAAAGGATACGCTTATAATGCCCGTACTTTTAACCAACAAAAACTGCAAACACCTTTACTTCCCGTGTTGTGCTACTTGTATTACTCATAAAGTACAACACATACACCATATAAATTTTCACAAAGTATAAAAATTTTATTGGTTTCCCTTTTTTTTGGCCTCTTTTAGCCTCTACAACAATTCCATGAGAAGTTGGCGATAGTCAGCTCTTTGAGTAATCATCCTTTATCCTTCGCTAAGGAAATGGTTTTTAAATAAGGAAAGGATGAGAAAAAGCTGAATTTGTGACACTGTTATATTTTCTACATTTCAAGATCAGCACATTCTCTTAAGCTACATGTGTTGCAAGAGCACAATTATAACAAGATAAGCTTTGTCATATGTATGACCTATGAGAAGGCGATTTAGGAGTTTAAATCTTGCTCCGAAAGCCATGACTCAGAGATCATACTTGGACAGAGCTGATTTTGGCTCCGGCTATAATTTGAAATTCATTCTTCCATTCCTTGTGATGAGATTTTTTGATAGCCCTTGAGGCTTCTTTAGGAGGAAAATAATGATACTGAAAAAGCTCTCCGTCAGTGATTGCTTCCTTGGCTAGACCATCAGCTTTTTCATTGAATGAAAGACTGTGGTAACTTGTCGCAGTTACCTTACTGAGAAAATTATAATGCTTTTAAATGTATCTTAGCCACGTATATGGTTATGTTTTTACTCTTTTGAGGTTATTTGGAGTGGACTTGCTGTCAGTTATGAGAGCTATCTTACGGCAACTTGTTTGATCGGTATGTTACAGCTCCTTTGCTCACCCGAATCGATGGATAACAATCACACGACTGCGAAAATCGTTTTGATCTTCGCACTTAGAGCGTTTTAATTTAATCAAACTCAATTGAGAAGGGCATGAAGAGCTAAGAGGGGAAAGCGATTTTCTTTCTCACGTATTTAGAGCAGTACATTTGTCTTCTAACCAATACTAATTATTATTAATCTGATAACACGTAAAGCAATTATGACAATAAATAATTATTAATGCAATTAAAAGGTGCACGCGCCTCGTTACGTATATCCAGCTACTTAATCGAACGATTTATTAGACAAGTTTGCCGCAGTCATGCAAATTAACGTTTTAAATTAATGCGGTAGTCATAAATAAAATATAAACAAATCGGTTTTAATTTGTAAAGGCGAAAACAATAACAACAAATATAACAACAAATATAATTTATTATTAAATAATTAACACTTTTAACTGCAATCTATCAATATGCTGTAGATATGCACTCACACCACAATACCGTATGTACAAAGTTTTCAAATAGTGCCAAACATATTTAAATATAATCTAAGAGCAACGAGAAAATGTTTGCTTTTTTACATATTATCGCCAATATTGAAATGCAATTTAATATAATGAAAGCCATTTATAAGATCTTGTATGCGAAATTAATGTGACCATCTTTTGTTTATCTTCAGCAGCAAATAATATGAAATTCTTATGCAAATAATACCAAGCAATATTTCAAAATGAAAGTACAGCTCGGAGAATATTATAAGTTCGATTCATTTAACCTCCCTTAGGTTATCACATAGTGGAGGTTATCACATAGTGAACTTGGTAAATACTCGGCATATAACGGCTATCGACTAGGCTGAGGGCACACTCTACTTTTTCCTCTTATTTCTTACCTTTTCTTGTGCATCATCTTGTGCTTTATATGTATAGGGCAGTTATCGGTTGGGCGCACATCCACTAGGCCACTAAAGCCACTCTCCATTTCTTTGTCTTACTTTCTAACTTTTTTTTGACCTTTGCTGTTTTACATGTAGAGAGCGGTCATCGGTTTGACACACATCTACTGGTTTAAGGGCACGCTCTCTACTTCTTCCTCTCTTTTCCTATCTCTCTCTCACCATTACAGTGTTGCATGTGTAGGAAACTTATCGGTAGAGCGCACACTTTTACTGGGTTAAAGTCACTTTCTAACTCTTGCTCTCATTCTTCATTTCGTTTCAACCATCATCGTGGTACACATATAGAGGACACCTCCCCTGCATGATTGCATATATTACAAAAAAAAAAAAAAAAAAATCTCTGGAATGCAAATTTGAGAATATGAAACCTTTTCAAGCTTTTTTGACATTAACGCCCGTTAAGCAATTAACTGCTTTGCCTAAATATCACTCATTTTTTCCAATCGGTCCTCTTTCTGGCTTGGACGTAGGCTGTTTGGGTATCTTTTTGCTCTAAGCAAATTCAATGATTTTTATTCGCCTTTTCCGAATTTATCAATCGAATTACATAGAAAATTGTCGATTAACGCTATGTCGTATGAAAAGGGAAGTGTTAATCGGGTAATCTATGGAACCTTAAAAATTTTCGGCTTTTTTTTTATGCATTTTTGTGAAAGATTTTCATTCGCAATAACCAGATTAATGATTGCAGGCCCATCTAGTCATGAAAAAAACTTTGAAGGTGATATTGAACTGATCTTTATCCTATTCCTTAAGGGGTTTATGAAGATTTAATAGCAAATAAAACTCAGTTTATGATAATGTCCAGTTTTAGTTTTGTTAAATTTTCTCATTAACTTAACTTCGTTAACATAACTTGAACAAATTTTTCGCTTTTTAGGCAAAAGTTTTTCAATAGTTTTTCCGGTTTTGCAGGTTTTTATAGCAAAATTCCGAAGATTTGCCTTTCATACATAACTATACATAAAGTCATATGAACCTTGTTGCTGTTATGCAGTATTTTCAATTGTTATTCCACAGTATTTATTCTACAGTGGAAAGTTTTGCTTTTGGTCACTTTGTGCACAACTTTACCAACGACAAGAATAACAAAAAAAAAAAAAAAAAAAAAAAAACGTAAGATAGCATTTTCCCCACTTAGTGTGTTTTTGAGTTACTGTTATTTTTATTCAAACAACTTTAAAATGGTGTTAAAACATTAATTTATAAAATTGTACTTGATTTATATTTAAAACCATATATAAAGGCGATTGATAATGTGTTGGTAGTTGCTTTTGTACCTAAATTTTCTTTCTCCAGAGAATTATGTTATTAACGAGTTGATCAAATTTAAATACTGCAAGACTGAAACATTGCTTCGATTAAGCTATGTTCATTTGTCTGTCCGTCTGCGCTTTAGTACTTCAATTGGGCCTATAAGTGTATTCTTCAATCAATGGCATTGTGAAAATATTCGGAAATTTGTATACAACTGGTAGCCCAGTAACCTACTACCGTTATGTGCTGAGTACAAATGATGCTAGCACGTCTGTCATTACCGCAACACTCTTTTTATAATGTATGACTAAGTTGTAGTTCTAGAAATATAAAATTGTCGGTTTACCTTTGCACCCAAGCGCCTATTCATTTCTTGTATCCCACGTTTGACATGTGACTTAGTTCTTTCGTTTCTAGCGTCTCATTGGATGACCTTTAGGGGTATATTGCTTTAGTCCAAAATCATTTATGTCAACATGACTCTCGAGATTAAATGACAGGGATTTCGGCACAAAACTATAGTAATGGTTTCGATCACCTATCAAATCCTCCTAAAAGCTGGGGATACAAGCGGTTCCGGTTATCACATAGATAAAAAATACTTTGAAAATGATAGGACCTCAATATATATATGTACATGACTTTTTTTATTTGCTTTGTCGCGTCAACAAGCGTCATCGTTGAAGAAAAGCAAGTGAAACGAATCTGGAAAACCTTTTTTCTTTAATGTAAATGAGGAAATTAAAATTATCCTTGGTAATCTTGACATCGTCAATGGAACAGCAATCGGTATCATTTTCACTACAAATTTGTTTATTGAGTTAAATGCTTTGTCAGTTTTGAATTTTTCTTGTTTTTTGATGTGATTGTGTTCGTTTTGAAACCTAAGAGACAGGCCGACGAATAAATTTGGAACGACTCGCTATGATACACTAACTTGTGTATACTATATGTATGCCTTGTTGGGTAATTTCAGGCAGGTTACTAGAAGTTACCAAAAGAATGAATGATAGCATTAGAGTGCGTTCAAACACTTGGTGATAGATGTAAAAGTAATTGTTTTTATGAAGCGCTTATAAAAGAATAAATATAAACAAACTTTATTAACAAATGCTCCTTTGTAATCAAGTAAGAACGAAAAGCAGCAATATACATATATAGATATAATCTCATTAGTGTAATGAGTAACATCTCTGTGTACATAATCATCATGTGATCCATGAGGAATAATTTTGGGAACCTCGGGATATACTAAGTTTTTCGTTTTTTTTTTTTCATAATGTAAAGAAGTATCCAAAAAGGGCTTATGTATATACAACTTATGATCTCAAGTCAATTTGCATTATTCAATCATCCGTCCGTCCGTCCGTCTAACTATCTACGATTTATCTGCAATTGCTGAGCTGTAATCCGACTGCTGGAATTTTCTTCATTGCAAAGGTAAAAACTGCTATCTATTTTTTTCTAAGCCAAGTCTGCAAAGCAATTCTGAAAATGGACGTCAAGCCTACAAAGTAACGCTTATTCTTCGTCTTCAACTTGAATTTAAGTTTTCTAGTGATATTAGATTTTTACTGATGATTTCGATTTTGACTCATGGTTCGCTTTTAAACTTTCTCTATTTCGCTCATCATTTTGCGCTATCTAACTTATTTAACCTTGCGCAAGTCTTGCCTAACAGTTGAAATAAATAAAAAATTTAAATTTACAAAAAAATCGATTTTGTCCGCTTCTCTTCTAATTGATTACATATTTAAACGAAGTAAATTAAAAAACATTTTACATTACATACCTAATATATCAGCTGAAGGATCTTTTTCGCAGAAATTCGGTGATCTCTGATAATAGAAGAGTGATGTTTCCAATTTGCGTGCTTGACGTTGAGCATATTTATCGGTATTCGATTTTCGATTTGTAGGCCTTTCATGTCTTTCGTTCGATCTCTCCGTATTGGTAGCACCATTATTTGATTTTTTATTACGTGAACGTTTTAATACAACTATCGGTTCACCGTTCCCTAGATTCGATTGATCTACAAGCAGAGCTCGACGAAATTGATGTTTTAAAACTTTACCTACTACATGAAAATCGGGAGCAGATTTCCAACAAGTTTTTAATTGGCAGCTACCAGACATACCATGGCATTTACAACGAAATTCCATATTATTTGAAACGGACTGTAATCGAAGGAAGGAAGCGTATATGAGAAAACCACATATATATATATATATTTATATATATATATGAAGTGTAAATAAAAATGAAAATATACCATTCTGCCGGCATGATTATTATGAAGATTGATTTTTGATTGTATATCGCCGGCCTTTTCGCGACAATCTAAAAATAATTTTGAAAATTCGACACCGAAATCCATATTATGTGAACAGCCGCCCCATTTCCATCTACTCGCTATTTTAGAGCGTTCATATTTCTTCTCTTCCTCGGGTGTGAGTATTTGATTCGTTTCCAAATATTGTAAAAAGAGTTTCTTCTCTTTATCGAGACTTTGACGCAAATTCTTGTTAAGAGTCTTTCGATTTACCGAAGGATCACAACCGCATGACATCAAACGTCCTTGGCTGCAAGCGCGTGCTACACTATGAGCTACGCCAGCCGCCGATATAGCAAAAGCGAATGCACTTTCCCGATAGCCTAAAATAGATAACGAAAATGAAACCAATTTAGAGAAATTTCACTTTCTTCGATTTTTCTCTGCATACAATTACATAAAAAAAAAAAAAAAAGGAAAGAAAAAAGATATGTATGTTCAGAGTCGATATTTTTTCTCGTTTATTATAATAGGAGGGAAAAATGTATGTGACCTTCTGAGAAATGCACTTTTATTTACACTGCATTACATTAGCGGTGGTTGTTGCCTATCAGAAAACTTATGCGATATGCGCATACCGTATCATCATCATCATTATCATCATCATTATCATCATCATTATCATTATCATCATCATGCTCTCTGTTACCTAAGCGTTCCCATGGGAATTGTTTTGTGATTTTTGCGGCACTTTTGCTTTTTTGACTTGCATCACAAATGTGGACACACATAAATATACAATGTGTCCAACACATTTAAGCAAGTGTGACATGCCATTCGTGGTAGAGATCAACGTGTGGCCCCGTACATACAGGATGTTCGTTCATTTGGTTGTTGCCTGGTTACTTACTTACTTAGCTGTTTTGGCAATCGATCGCTTAACAGCGAGAGTTTCCAGTAATGTTGTTGTAATGTCTGATTGGCATTTCACATTGTTACGCATTGTCAATGCGTTCAGGGAGAATCGAGTATAACAACATATACCATATATATATATATATATATATATAAAGCCACCATAAGTATACTTACACACAACATAGCAAGTACAAGGACGTGGACATGATGATGGAGTAAAGAGAGCTTTCAGGGAAGATAAACCAAAAAAAAAAAAAAAAATCTGAAACATATACTTGTACTATTTACAACACGAAGTTGTGCAATTAAATTCTTGTCAATTTCTTGCAAATACGCCAAGATTTGAAAGGGGCAGCAGCAATAACAGCAGCAACTGACGCCGCTGCAATAGGCAGAGATTTTCATTGCTTTGTCTTTTGTGTGTGTGTGTGTGTGTGTGTGTGTGTGAATGTTGATGAATTTCTGTTACAGATATTTAAGTAGGATAACATGTTTTTTATATCAAAGATAATCTTAGGAATTTGTCTAGTTTAACAGTTTAAAAATAAAAACTAATTAAAATTCCCTACATCTCGCTATCCTTGTTTATCGCTGCATGCGCTGCATTTTAGATTACAAAGTACTCTTGTGTGACATCTGAATGTTTTATATTTTCATACTCTCCCAAAGGAGTTATTTTAGATTTCCCAAAAGTTTTCAACGTGCATGCAAGTATGCATGCAATGCCACAAAGTATGGTGTGAATAGTCGAGTCCAATTAGATGTATATGCGAGTGTATTGTTCGCTCGTGTCTGAAAATAATGATGACGAATTAAAAATGTTGCTTGCAAGTTCTTCTTCTTGCCCTTCAAGTCCAAAAAGCATTCGACGAGGTAATTCGACGTTCGCGATCAGGTTCTACTTCCCATAATCTGATAATTTTGCTACCCCTCTTAAATTGTGGTCGCCACATTGTAGAGCTCTTTCAGTTTAAAGTTGCGTTTTCAATTTCCTACAGCTCTTAGTAAAAGCAATCAATCAATTGCAAACGCTTCGAAGCAGTATGCGCATGCGAAATTAGTGTAGCAACGTAGTGTTCGCGGTAGAGTTCACTTTGTTTGCTTCTGTAGTGGGGTTTAGACGGTACAGTTGGCAACGCCTACCAATTAGGCACACACACCCACTCCGTTTCTCTATCTCTTTCTTGATTTCTCTCTGATTCTCATCGTATTACTCCCCTATGGGCCGGTCGGAATGCATAAAGCGCCGCATAGTACGGTGTAAATCGTCAAGTCCCGTTAGAGGTATATTTTCGTCGCCTGTTTTTGAACAAAACTTTTACGAATTCCAAACGTTGCTAAAAGAAGAAAGTTGGCTTGAAAAGGAAAAAGTTGGCTTTTCTTATTCTGCTTAGTACGTTACGCTCCAACAGCATGATAAATCATTGCTTGAGATTGCCCTCAGTACTTATAATTTCATCGTTTCTTCTACATTATGTTCACAAAATTGTAGAGTTTTTAGTTTAAAATTGGACTCTAAATTTCTCTATTACTATAAATAAAAACAAAAAAACGGTAATGAACATGAAGTCTAACGCAATTGATAATGAATGCTACGTAGTAGGTAACCTACGAGAACAGTTTACGTATAGTGAACATACGCTATGCCTTTATCTTGGGCGAGAACATCTACTATCGTCTATGTTTAGCACTTTAGATGAAAGAAACATTGAATAAATAATTTGAAAAAACGCCTCATTTTTATTTTCATCAAGCGTCCTACTTTTATTTGTTTGGGGGCTTTCCGACATATATCGGAAAATCGCAATGGAAATGTGGCTATGCCGCGGAAGTTTTCGCAAATACTAAGTTTAGAGAGATCCCTTCTTCTACTCCTGATAGCTGAGACTGTTCATCTCTTCTTCGTGGACTTGCATGATAATTGTGGTCATCCGAAATTTGGGGCGATACTAAATATATGAGTGGGGCATATCCACCACCGCGTTGTGACACCTCAGGTGTGGTTTGAGACCCTATAAATTAGAAATTGTTCCACTCTCTGGGCCGTGGGCTTAGCCATTGCAATTATCCCGTATGTTGTATGTATGTACGGTGCAATTAAGTATTCATATGTCAACACTTTTTTGATAGGATATATGTTGATATGACTTTTTATTAAAGACCCACCATTACTACATCAAACTTCATTTTCAATAATTCGATAATTGATGTTTTCCGACAGTGTAAACGAGTATGGGTTGGGCAATTTATTACCTTCATGGGCTACGTGAATTGTTTTTAAACAGGCTCAATAAAACGCTTGTCCTTTACTTTTCACCTAAACAAGATTTTTAGTATTGATATTATTATGGTGTTGTCGGAGAAATAGTTATAGTAATCATTGCCGTTTTCCAATAACAATTTACTTATATAACACCTAATGACTTCTCCACTTTTCAATAAATTTATTATATTAGCTACAGACCCGAGGCGAAAGTACTCGAAATATCTTAGCTGATAATGAAAATATCGTTTTTGTTTCTAGGCGGAGGCCGACTAAATGAATCCTAAGGAACTACTCATACAGAAGCTTTTGATGATGCTTTTAATGCATTTTTCTCTCTCTCGGAGTACAGGTTCGGAAAGTACTTGATTTAAATACTTGCCGTTCGAGGAAGCTTGTAATATTTTTATCTCGCTAGCACAATATTGCTTGCGGCTTTAGGTTTGTTTACAAATTTAGGAAATTGAAGGTACAAAATATATATCACCATTTGGATTACATCGTAGCATAGAATTGCCTTCAATTATTATTTACGTACAGGGTATGCTTATCCACGACCAGCGTGGACCTTGAGAGTTCCTTGTTAATCGAGAAATCCTAGTGTTTGAAAGAAGATCAGCTTGAAAAACAATTGTAAGAAAGGAAAATAAAAAAAATGAGATTGAAAAAGTAAGCGAAAATGCTGCTGAGTTTTCACTATGTACCTAACAAAGCGTTTATCTGATTAATAATAACAAGTTAGAGCCTCAAACAATATCGTTTTAGATTGCAATGGAGGTAAGCTAATGTGTACTCTTTGCAGAAAGGAATAAATGACGAAAAGTGTAACTGAAATCTTGTGTTATGTAAAGTAGAAGAAGTATCAGTCATCTATTTATTCATATTTAGAGAACGGGTACGATCGGCTATAACGAAAATTCAAACTAACTGTCAGTCTCGTTGGAATTATTCGAATATTACTTTTTTTTTGGGGCAACTGCAGCTAGCTATGAATATAAGACAACATTAAGACAACTTCAACTAAAGTATCACAGAGCGGGCAGGCAGGCACGCAGGCAGGCGGGGTCTATAAAAAAATTTCAGGTCAATCTATATTCTATTATTGTCTTGTTTTTATTTTATTTTTATTT